ATACTGGAAAGGGGCAGACAACCTGCTGATCCAGAACAGCCATTCCTACTGCCATTCTAACTCCTACAGCCGTTCTTGCTGAAATGGTCTTGGAACCTAGTTAACTAAATCTTGGGTATTCAGTATTCAGTCTGCAGGAATTATGATGGTCACATACGTTATTCATCATCAGGTAGGAATCAGAGCATACATTAGACAAGGAAAGGCTAATGTTTAACAGTCTGAGCAATTTTCAATGCAGATAACATAGGAAAGATGTCAAGAACACAGACTCAGGGTCAGCTGAGTCCAAATGCAAATTCTTACTAACCTCTATCAAGTGTGCACGCATCAAATTTCCATTGACTTTCATTTCCTCAGCCACAAAATGTTCTGATGACAACCATATTAATAACAATGAATGATAATAATACCTACCTCAAATTGTTGGGTTGATAATAATTGATAATGACATAATGCAAATAAAATGCTCAGCACAGCCTAAGTAGCCAATAAATGTTGGTCATATTATTTTCACATATTGTAATGTCCTAACAATGAATCTCGTAAAGGGAACAAAGTTCCTGTAATTATGTAAGTTAAATTGTAATTATAGGCTTGTCTAGTGTATGTATGTGACTATGACCACATGCCGGTCCTATGAGCACAGGAATCCCCTGATTCCTAGTGTGTGTTTTTCCCCTCCACCCTCTCGGCTGTGTATTGTTCTCCCCAGTTCCCTTAAATCTAAAGTCTTCCATGGCATGGCATCCCTGTGTCTCGCATCCATAGATGGGCAACAGTGATGAACCCTGTTCAAGGTTTTAAATCAACATCAATATCACACGGAAAATTTTTCTCATAAAATTCAGAGAAAATGGTACCCTCATAACTACAAATTCAAAAGCAATTCTTTGCATACTGAAAGAAAATACTAAGAGAGAAGTCAATTCAAATAGCAAGCTTAAAACCTCTGAAAAAGCCCAAGGTGTGACTAAGCCCAAAGGTCAACAAAGCCACAGACCGAAATGGCTTCACAAGAACACTTACAGTCTCATCCACGGTCTTAATTAGGGTTACTATTTTTTTATTGATTTTTATTGAGCTCTACATTTTTCTCTGCTGCCCTCGGGAATCTCCCTTTTCCCATGGTTCCCATGCTCCCAATTTACTCAGGAGATCTTGTCTTTTTTTATGTCCCATGTAGATTAGATCTATGTATGTCTCTCTTAGAGTCCTCATTGTTGTCTAGGTTCTCTGGGATTGTGATTTGTAGGTTGGTTTTCTTTGCTTTATGTTTAAAAACCACTGAAGAATGAGTACATGTGATAATTGTCTTTCTGGGTCTGGCTTACCTCACTCAAAATGATGTTTTCTAGCTCCATCCATTTTCTTACAAAATTCAAGATGTCATTATGTTTTTCTGCTGTGTCATATTCCATTGTATAAATATACCACATTTTCTTTATCTATTCTTTAGTTGAGGGGCACTTAGGTTGTTTCCAGGTTCTGGCTATGACAAACAATGCTGCTATGAACATAGTTAAGCCCATGTCCTTGTGGCAGGGTTGAGCATCCTTTGGATATATACCCCAAAGTAGGGTTACTATTGATGTAACAAAATGCCGTGAGTGAAATACAAGTTGGCAAGGAAAGGATTTGCTTGGCTTACACTTCGAATTCACTGTTCATCATAGAAGGAAGTCATGATAGGAACTCAAACAGGGCAGGAACCTGGAGGTCAGGAGCTGATGCAGAAGCCATGGAAGAGTGCTGCTTACTGGCTTGTTCCTTATGGCTTGCTCAGCCTGCTTTCTTACAGAACCCAGCCCAGGGATGGTGCCGCCCACAATGGGCTTGGCCCTCCCCATTAACCACAAATTAAGAAAATAACTTACAGTTAGATCTTATGAAGGCATTTCTCAATTGAGATTCCTTCCTTTCAGATAACTCTAGTTTGTGTGTCAAGTTGACTAGCCAGCATAGCTATGCATACATGTTTTAATTTTTTAATTAAAATAGAATTATGTCATTTTCCTCTTTCCATTTCCTCCCTCCAACTCTTTCCATGCACTTTGTCTTGGTCTGTCTCAAGTTTTCTATTTCTTTAACTCTTGTTTTACACACACACACACTTAAATATGCAAACACAACTTTCATAGTCCACATGACGTTGCTTGTATGTATGATCTCAGGGATGAATTTTTGATATTGAAAAAGTAATTCCTGGGCTCTTCCCTAGGGAAGACAATTCTTCTGCTCTCAATGTTCCTTAGCTGCTTATAGTTCTTTGTCCAGTGTTGAGGTCTGGTAAGATTTCCCCCTTCCATGTATTAGGATGTCTATTTGTGTGATCCTTGTTCAGGTCTTGCTTAGACAGCCATGTTGATGAGACTTCCTGAATGTAGCTTCTCTGATATATCTAAAAGATGAAATGTCACAGTGAATTCTTGTTCCTCTGGTTCTTACAATCTTTCCAACCCCTCTTCTGCTATGACCCCTAAGCCCTCCTAGGTGCACAAGTTGTGTTGTAGATACATCAGTTGGGTTGGTCACTTGTTCTCTGCATTTTGTTTGATTGTGGTTTAGACCTTTAAGGCACATGTCTGTCCCACATAATTACAAGCTATAAGTTCATTTCCACTAGCTCTGAACGAGTTTGTGATACATGTGCCATCTTTTTCTGAACGGCTACTCCAAGTCCAAATTCCACAATATGGGGATCTGAGAGCTCCTTTACGTTTCATTTTGAAAATGGAGTCTATAGACTGTAGACGTGGTGGTGAGGAGAGCCCCGCGCAGGAAGTCTAGGAACCTAGACATGACACTACCTCTGCTGATTGCAAGAGTGAAGCACCATGGAGTCCAGGAAACCAGTGTGTTCTTCCTGGGAGCTTGTGAGGGGCCTGAGCCCTTTTGCTGCAGCTCCAGAGTAAAGGGTTGTAGTCTCTGGACCTTTCTCCCTAGAGCCACTGTGTTCTCACTTCTGAAAAAAGGACTATGATAGCATTTCTCCCGTCTAGGCTATGGTAGACGATCGTTGAAAGATGCATGACAAAAAAATCCATCTCAGGGGTTTTTGACAAAGGTTTGTGAAATCAGAAGTCTTACAAATGTAGGTGTTCAGGATAATATAAGGTAGAAAGAACCATTTACTTCTGCGTAGCTTTTGTTCAGCTAATGGTTCTCCCTCTCCGCCCCACGCTGTGTGTGTGTGTGTGTGTGTGTGTGTGTGTGTATTTTATCACAGAGGTATTGCTACATAGTCTAGGCTACCTTGAAAGTCATGATCCTCCTTGCTTCAGGCTCCTAGGTACTGGGGTGACATAGACTTGCACCACTATGATCAACAGGCAACACTCAGGTTTTAGTTCATTTTTCATCTCTTTCTTTGTTCATTGACTGTCTTTCTGTTTTAACAGTTAACTTATCCCTTTCTAGTCCTTAAGCTGTAAGACTCTCCAACACCAAAGCACAGTGAAGGATTAGATTGTAGAAAGCAGGACAGACACGAAAGGGACTAACTCGAAGGACAAAGCAGAGACTGATCCAAGCGCTCATGCGCATGCTTTACAGCCCCCGTTTCAACCCATAAGGGAATCTTCACTTTGTCCATCTCAGGGATGGCTGCGGGTGGAGCTCTCACTCAGGTCTGACTAACCTCAAAGACTGGAGAGTAAAGAGGACTCTGTCCCACCTTTCTGTTCCCAGGCTGAGGCTCCTGTGACATCTGGAGAAAAGTGGCTTAGGGAAAGGGTCCCGTTGTTCCTGGCATTGATGTCTCTAGGGCAGTGGTTCTCAACCTTCCTAATGCTGCGACCCTTTAGCAGGATTCCTTGTGCTGTGGTGGCCCCCAACCATAAGATTATTCCATTGCTCCTTCATAACTGTAATTTTGCCACTGTTATGAGTCATAATATAAATTGTGTTTTTTGATAGTCCAAAGGATTTGTGTCCCACAGGTTGAGGACTATTGTTCTAGCACCTTCCCTGACTCAGTTCTTCCAGAAATATATTCCTGACCATGCATTTCTGCACCGTGTATTTCTGCCTCTCCTTGGAGTCCACGTGGTATGTAATAATTGGTGGAGCAATCACTTAGTACCTACCAAGTACCAGACAGTACGCAAAGTGCAATGGGGAACACAGATCACGCAATGGTCATGGCCCCACTTTGCAGAAGTCTGGGAGAAGGCCATCCAACAGGCGCTGCCAAGTAGCCAGGACTATTTTAGATACTCGGACAGAGCCACTTTCAAGCAAGTCCTTCTCATTTGACAGGACACCTGAAGCAGAGAGAAATATGCTTCCCGAGATCACACAGGTAGCAAGTGTCCAAAGTAGGTTTCTCCAGCGTTCGCTTTATTCTCAAGCGCACTGTATCCTCTATATTCAATTTCTTCCCTGGGTTGGGAAGGCAGGACACACACACACACACACACACACACACACACACACACGGAAAAGGAACATGAAGGTAGCCACCAGAAGAAGCTGCAGAGAAATAAGTATTGGAAACACTACCGACCATCATGAGAACAAGGGTAGGTAGGAGTCCAAAATATCTGTCGCTGAGCTGACAGGTTTTAATGTTCACCAGTGGCACAACCTAGGGGCAAAGAAAGTGGACGCCATCGGAAAATAAGACACTGGGCCATTACACCTGCTCAGGATGGATCTCCAATGCCAGAACCCCGTACATCCTACAGGTTCAGCTGCTCCATCTCCACAGCCCCAGGCAGCGTAAAATGATGATGGAACCTTTGCAGTTGGTTGAAATGTTCGCAGGCCTGGTAAATACCAGAGAGCAGTAATTGATTTGGTGTGGTCTCGGCAGATTCATCACGGTCGGCAGTAACTAAGCACCCCTTCCCCACCCATGGCTCTCTTGGGCGGGTGAGGAGGAGTCGCTTTTCTCCTAACATTCTGTGTTGACGTAGCTGGTGAGGAGGATTTGCTGAGGAAAGGTGAATACACTTGGCAACGCCTTCAATCGTTTGTTTGGATTTTCTGTTTTCTAGGAGATGTACGACTAAGGGGTCAGACCGGGGTTCCTGCCGAACGCCGCGGCTCCTACCCATTCATTGACTTCCGTCTACTCAACAGTGAGTACCCGAATGTGCCTTCAAAGGAGCAAATGTTTCCTTTAGCGGGGGAAAACCCACCTCATTTCCCTAGGAACCTCATAACCTTGCAAGGTCTGCCTTCCTTCCTCCACCTCTGTCTCCTCAACTGGAGCTTAAGACTTTGTCTCTCAAGTTCCTCACATGGGAAGGGAATCTGAGAACTGCCCAAGCCTCTCACATCGGCGCTGAAAGCAAGCTGGCAAATTTAAGGCCAGCATTAAGGAGGCAGAAGCAGGGGGATCTCTGTTCATTGGAGGCCAGCCTGGGCTACATAGTGACTTCCAAGACAGTCAGGGCTATGAAAAAAAACATCCTGTCTTGGAGAGAGAGGCGGGGAGGGAAACACAAGAAACACAACCCTCAACGACTGTTGTGACCTTCACACAGGTGCTCTTTTTGTGTTTCCAGAACATTCTCTTTACCTGCACCCAGGACAGGGCTAGAGGAAGTGCTATCTCATTTTTTAAATTTCACAGATAAATCCTAGGATACCCCCATTCCTAACTCTCTCTTCTTATTCTCCTGTGATCCCTATTTCTACATTCATTAAAAGGAAGTCCTTCCCATCCACACTGCTGCTTGCTTTCCGCTTGGTGAAAAACTTGGTAGCACATCCTCTACGTCTCCTTCTGTTGTTGTTTAATCTTACATTCCTTAGGAAATTCAACCCAGTGGCCAGTCATTTCTCAGCTTTTATATCGCCTATCATGGTGCTCCTTCACCTCGGCTTGTGGTGGAAGGAGGAGCCTCCAATAATAGATTTCACAATTTGCCCCAAGGTTTTTGCTGTTTGGTTCTTGCATCCCTGCCCGTCTATAAATTTCAAAGTGCTGGATGGAGTCCACAGAGTATTACTTTCCTTTGACATAAACAACCTCCACACAGGCGGTAATTTGATTTGCCTCAACCCCTGGAATGACTAGGAAAATTTAGACTTCGCTATTTGTGATCCTGAGATGAGTGAAAGGCCAGTAGAAGATGGACCTGCTTGTGGTTCTCCTGCCATCATGCTGTGCTGCTTCTTCAGCTCTTCCAAAGATGCAGAGTCAGAGTAACGTTTTCAATCCTAGAAGTGAACATCCCCAACACTTCCTAAAACTCAACACTGTGCCGTCTCTAGATGACTGCAACAAAGAATGCAACCTGTAAGAACTAGACCAATGCAATATTAAATGCAACCTGTGAGAGCCAGACCAATGCAATATTGAACGCAACTCATGAGAGCTAGAACAATGCAATATTGAATGCAACCTGTAAGAGCTAGACCAATGCAATATTGAATGCAACCTGTGAGAGCTAGACCAATGCAACATTGAATGCAACCTGTGAGAGCTAGACCAATGCAACGTTGAATGCAACCCGTGAGAGCTAGATCAATGCAATATTGAACACAACTCATGAGAGCTAGAATAATGCAATATTGAATGCAACCTGTGAGAGAAAGACCAATGCAATACTGAATGCAACCTGTGGAATCCAGGTCTAGGCAAAATGGAATGCAGCCTGTGGTAGCTCTGGCGGGTACCTATGACACCTCCTGATTAGAACAGTTCCATACAGGCTGTTCTAACTCCCCATGGAAGCTACACTGCTGGCAATCTCCTGACTGGATAAATGTCTGGGTCACCAGATGGGAGGTTCCACAAAGTAGGGCATGATTCATCTGCACCACAACTCTCCAATAGAGCCCCAGGTAGAAAGTTACCAAAAAGCCTCTTTCCAGCAATAGATCGATGTTATTTCATGATTTCTAATACAGCCACAGAACAAAGGAGGAAGCTAGTAGTTAGGTATTTATAAGACCAAGGTTTTAAATGATTCTTAACTCAACCCCAATGTTCATAAGCAGCTATGCTGATTCTGATGGTCTTTGTAGTGGAATATGGAATATGGAGTTGATTGTCTCTACCACATGTCTTTCTCTGCATGTGAAAAAACAAATTTTCCAAAATAATTTGCTTTTCTTTTTTATCTGAAAAGCGTGTGTGTGCGCATGCATGTGCGTGTCTGTGTGTGTGTGTGTAGACTGCAGATAGCCATTGTTTCTACATACTGGTTGTATTAAAAAGATCATCTGTAAGTCGCTGCCACCCGTCACCCTCTGCAGATCTTCCAGGAAGCTCCTGGTGCCTGGGCTCTGCCTATGCCCCAGGCCTTGTCTGATCCCCACTTCTATTTTCCTGTACCTGTTACTCAGAGTCAGCTACTCATCCAGGAAAACCATTGGCCACACACCCTGAAATTTTCTTTACATTCTCTATAAGACTCTGTTCTAGATAATTCTTTCACTCCCTTCTCTTTTATATGCTATACTATGAGATACTGAGACAGTCCTAATTTCCTTTCACTATATTTGGCTTTTTTATTTTCATTTATTTATCTATTTATCTACCTATCTATTTATTTATTTATTTTTGGTTTTTCTAGAGAGGGTTTCTCCATAGTTTTGGAGCCTGTCCTAGAACTCAAAGAGTTCCACTTGTCTCTGCCTCCCAAGTGCTGGGATTAAAGGCATGCACCACCACTATCCAGTCCCGTGTTTGGCTTTTTAAGTGGCTTCAGTTTCCTAGATGTCTAAGGTGTGCCCCTAAATAAACTACAAAGGTCCTGAACTCAACAACTCTTTCTAGTTACTAGCTACTAACTCCATAGTTAACGTACCAGTTACAGGAAGTATTCCTCGAGAAACAGCTGTAATAAGTAGCTGTAAGTGTAAGCCATCCCTGGCTTTAACTGAACAGCAGGGAGAGCCTGAGGAATTGTGAGGTTTGTATTTATTCGTGATGCAATCCACCCCTCTCTGTAATGCCTGTATTCCGGGAGTCGGAGCGTGAGCCTCCGTCGTTGCTCTGACTCGTTTGCAGCTTCCTAACTTGGCAACCAAGCAGCTTGTCACCAGGTAGGGATAGGCACATGGGCATCTCTGTAAAGTCCAGTCACAAAAAGTATATTATATGTATCAAATCTCCTCTCCTGTATAAAGTCTCCCATCTATTTAATTCTCTTGCATCTCTTCATGCCCTCCTTGAGGCTTGCTGTGTAGTTAAAGATATGTTTTCTCCCTAAAGAGAAGCATTTTAGAACATTTTGGACGTTTCTCCTTAAACTTTGATTATACCCACCAATTGCAACTCTATACAATAACTGCCAAACTGGTTGAACATATTCCTTTTTAAATGCTTTATGTGTATGTTTGTGTTCATGTTTGTTTGTATGCAAGCGTGTGTGTGTGTGTGTGTGTGTGTGTGTGTGTGTGTGTAGACCAGAGGTCAATGTGGGATGTCATTCTCAGCTGCTCCTCTCTCTGTTTTTTTAGGTAGCATTTCTCATTTTTATTCAATCCCCACCCTTATTTACTGATTGGGCTGACTTCTCAGCAATCCCTGGGAATCCTTCTGTCTCTGCCCCCTCATTGTTGGGGTTACAGGGAGACACTATCACCATGGATTTCTCTTAGGGGTTGCGGTGGATCATACTCAGTTCCTTGCACTTAGAAGGGGAAGACAGGCAGATCTCTGTGAGTTCAATGCCAGCCTGGCTCCAGGCCTGGGAGGACTCCATAGTGAGCTCTTAGTTCAGAAAATACCAACCAAAGTCAGGTTCCGACATGTGCATGGCAGACACTTCACTCACTGAACCATTCCCTCAGCCCCTTGCATTACTTATTTCGTGTCCATTTCTCTCAGAATAGACACAGGCCCACAACCATTCCACTCAAATGATCATCGTTTTGCTTTCTCTCCTGAGACAGAATCCAATATAAGGCTTTAAAAGAAATCATTTATAAATTAAAATTCCAAAGTAAACTCAATGTAAGAAAAATCAAATCATTAAAACTCCTATTCCTAGTCTGCATTTCTGCAACCTTTCTACTAAAATGCTTAATGGATCCCACACAATTGCCATTCCCTACCCACACTGCTCCTGGCTGCTTCTCATTTACCACCTACTTCAATAACTGCCTTCAAACTCTGGCCTATGTAAGGGGAAAATGTGCATTGAATAGGAAGGCCCATTGCGTTTCCACGTTGTTCATTAGTCACAGTTCCAACCTGTCGTAGCAGACAGGGGACGGCAGAATCAAGACCTACAGTAAGTTGTTTTCTGTCAGAATGGGAATTGTGGCTGTTACAACAGATCACTGGGACAGAAGGGGTAGATGGCAGCCAGTGCACCAGATCTGTCCCAGTGCCTCTTGCGGTAAACACAGTCTTGCTGGAGCACTGCCATGGCCATCTCCTGAAATGCCATCTAGGGCTGCTGTGGTACAAATGGGTAGCGCAGCTACAGCAATATCTACATCATCTATAAAGCCAGACTTACCTGATGCTGGGGCCTTGATGGGAAAAGGTTACCACCCCCATTGTACATACCGTTAAGCAGATTTACAAGGGTTTTATGCTGTGAGCACATTCAGTCCAGGCCATTTTTCTTTGTTATTGTCATTTTCTTTCTACTTTCCAGATCCATCCCTTACTTTTTTTTTTTTTTTTTTTTTTTTTTTGAGGCAGAGTTTCTCCATGTAGCCTAGCTGTCCTGGAACTCACTCTATAGACCAGGCTGGTCTTGAATTCACAGAGATCTGCCTCCCAAGTGCTGAGATTAAAGGTGTGTGCCACCACTTCCCGGCCCATTCCTTACTCTAAAAAATGAACTGAACACTGACTAAATTAATACACAACAGAAGCACAAGGAGAAAACAAACTTCCTTATTGGTCTAGGTATAAAACTCTAATTTGAAATTATTTTTCTTAATTCTACACACATTCTTCTGAAAAAGAAAATCTCTTTCCATGCACAGGGAGTAAAGGCACAGTGCTTTCTTACCCACAGTCCTATGGCCTACATCATAAGGTGGTTAAACACCTGATTTGTCTCTCATGGTCCTAATTTTCTTTTCTTTTTGGTCCAGCATCCTTAGTAATTACAGTATCTTCCCATTTAGTTTGTCCTGGTTTGAAGAATAAATTACAGACCAG